AATAATCAATTTCAAGAAGACCAATGGATGCAGAGGAAGCACAGAGAAGGCGATCAAGAGGTATGCTAGTGATTAACAAAAATATTGGTATTATCTCCAACATCCTCAAATAGGAAGAAGGTAAAGGGAAAAAGGATGATTCAATTTTGGATATCAATACGCCCTGTGCATTGAAAAAAATTGGTATCATCGGATAATAGCTGGAGGCATCTTCTTCAGGAATGAACATTTTTGTTCAAAGATTTGGAAACCCAATTGCTATCCCTGGTAGCTGTGTGGTAAATGAGAATCTCAAGTTTTCAGAAAAGAAAGATGTTTTTCTGAAATCATACAGACAGACAATTCAAACGGAAGTGGTTTCAGAACAACCTAAGGAGACATTTGCAAACTAGATTGTTGATCAAATGACTGAGAAGAATGTAGTTAAATCGAAAATGGACAACATATGGTATAAAAAACCATTTATCAAACTAAACTTCAGTGAAGATGAACCAATGTTATCAGTAGACAGGAAAGCAATGCTTTTAAACAAGGAAGCTGAATTGAAGAATGCAAAGGTGCTTAGTGAGTCCTTGGTGTGCAAAGAACTTGGCAAAGACATATAGCCTCAAATTGTGTCATGGGAACTTAGAAGAAAATGGTCTAAGTATGATATATTCCATTTCACCACTCTTGGTCTAGGATGGTTTCTCGCATCTTTCAAATTGATGGAAGCAATGGAAGGAGTTCTGACGGGAGGACCGTGGTTTGTGAATGAACACATAATCAGTATGGATTGATGGACTCCATAATTCTCATCATCATCTATAAAAGGGCTTTCATCACCCATTTGGATCCAAATGCCTCATCTACCGCTATAATGTTGGGATGAAAATAATATCGCTAGAATTGTCTCTGTAGTTGGAACACCACTTATGCTAGATGTCAACTTATTTCATTGGGGAAGAAGAGAATTTGCCAGAGCATGCGTCCAAATCAAACTTGATCAAAAACTGCCAGTTGGAGTGTGGGTGGAAAGCATGGGAGGAAGATTCTTCCAAAAACTCAAGTATGAAAGAATATCAAGTCTCTGTTTTGACTGCGGTAGAAATGGACATGTAAAAGGAGATTGTAACAAATAGAATACTGTTGAAATCATAAAGTTTTCAGATGAAATCTCTCTAGCTTCATAGAAGATGGAGGCCATTGAAGATAGAAGTACTTATGGCCCCTGGATACTGGTGAATAACAAGAGAAAGAAGCAAAATGTTGCTTTCAATAAACAAGTAACCAGAAAGACAGCAGCAAGAAACATTTTACACAAAAATATATGGAAAGAAACAATAGGTCCTGTGAAACCGAAAAAGATAGAACAACAAAGCAACAAAATGTTGGAGTCACATTTAGTTAATGACAATAATGTTGAAACTTGTTCAATATGAATTAGGTTGTTAAACCTAAGCTTATGTCATAGTGGAAAACCAAGAGGGGCAGTGAATTGGTAATTAAAAAATTTTATCCCTCTTCAAAATTTAGAACCAAGAAAATTAACTTTAGTGAATTTTATAGAAAATGTTCTTTTTCATCCACAAGTTAGAAATAGTAAAACAAAAAATAAAAAGCAGTGAAAAAATAAAAAACACAAGATTTATAGTGGTTCGGTCAAACACGACCTACATCCACTCCTTGGAGGCACCCTCTGAGTATTGCACTAATACCACGAGTGACTCTCCTTTTGCACCCACAGCATGGCGGAGAAGCCTTTACAAAACTCTCTTCCAGCACTACCCGGCGCGACAAGGAACCATCATCCTTTTACACTCTTCCCAGTGTTGGTAGAGAACTGTTCATCCTTTAAATCTCTCCAAGTGTAGGCAGAGAACCCTTCATCTATTCACACTCTCCTAGTGTTGGCAGAGAACCCTTCATTCTTTCACACTCTCCTAGTGTGGGCAGAGAACTCTTCGGCTGTTCACACTCTCCATGTGTCAGTAAAGAACTAGATCTCCTTGACAGATCTTCTTCATAAGTAATCTAAAAGGAAGAGAGAAAAGAATGAAGTAATCAAAAACAATAAGTAGAGACTCTTACCTTTGAGTACCAAGTGAAACCTTCACACTCCAAGGGTAAGAGTTCTCCTTCAAACACTCTCTCACGCTCTCTCCTTGACTTTCTTTTCAATTGGCATGAAGTTCATTAGGCAAAAAGATTAAGTGACAGTTTATATTGGACTTTATATAGAAAAGACACAATAAACGTCCAAAAACTGCTAAAATTTAAGTCTGTCAGCAGTGGATCGTCCCGTACGATCGTAGATCGACTTGGACGATGTTACTTAATTCAGTTGGAAAAGAACCCAATGTATATTGGTATGAACAGACTTCATACACATTAATCGTTCTGTACGAACAAGGTTCATCCAGTACGAACGGTTATACCATAGGTCGGTTCTGAAATCTGCAGGAAGTTGCCAAATTTTTAAGAGTTGATTCTCTTTGTCCTGGGACGAATATGAGTTCGTCTGGACGAAATTTTTACAGAGGACATTTTATCCTGGGACAAATTGGAGTTTGTCTGGACAAAAATTTTCCAGAGAGCATTTCATCCTGGCATGAATATGGATTTCGTCTGAACGAAAATTTTCCAGAGGACATTTCATCCTGGGACGAATTGGAGTTCGTCTGCACGAAAATTTTCTAGAGAGCATTTCGTCCTGGTATGAATATGAATTTTGTCTGAATGAAAGTTTTCCAAAGCCAATTTCGTACCGGGATGAATAGGAAATTCATTTTGGACGATCAGGACTTAGAAAAACTTTCTACGCTTCCTGTTTGTTCCATTGCTCTTCCGAGGAGATAACTGACTTGATCATCCCGTACAAACTGTGTTCGTCCCGTACAATCAAAATAATTTTTAAAGATCTCCTTAATTGTGTGTGTGTTTATTTACACAATTACAATCACTCACTCTCAAACTCAATTCAAAGAAAATTACAAGCTTCAATTTACAAACTATCTCATGCTGAATTTGATTTGAAGTCTTCATTAGTCTGGAGTTTGAATTTCCTGAAATATTAGTCCACACATGAGAACAAACAAATCTTCCAAAAACTATTAGGAGATTACAAAACTTAAAACAATAATATTTGGAATCATCAAAACTGTACAAGTTGCAAGAATGTAAAATAGGTAATTAGCAACTCTCTTAACAAATCGAGTAATAAAAGAAAGAGAAAATATTATAGACAATTTGAATTGTACAGAATCAGAATGTATTGATTCAGCTTAACTTGATCAAGGTCACACAGAAGGGAAAACAACTGAAATATTACAGGCTACATGGGACAATAAAACAAAGCAGGGAGTTTTGTCCATAAGAAACTCTTTTGAAATACTGGAAGAAATGTGGTAGATAATCCTATGAATGTAGTGAATGAAAGGTCTGAGAAACAAGATGAGATTAAGGACAATATCAAATTGGTCAAGAATGTTGTACAGGAAAGAAAAAAATCTACAACCAAGGAACAAAGGGAAAGTAGCATCTTGATCTCTAAAGTGTCTAACAGCAAAACCAAACCTGCCAAGGAAATGAAAATGTTAGGACCTATAAAAGGGAATCACAGAACGAGGAAAGGTGATGGAGGAGTAGAGAAGGCCGGGGTTTCAACCCCACAACTAATTTAATGTCTTCAATCTTGTTTTGGAATTATAGGGGAGCAAAGAAGAAAGAAGCCTCCCACTACTTAAGAAATGGTTGGAGAAAATGGTCTGTGTTTCATTGGTCTGATAGAAACCAAATTGGAAAAATTGGGAAGTGAAGAAGTCAAAAATCTGGTGGGAACGATTGGGAGTCTTACCATGAGGCATCTTCAGGAACTTCTGGAGGTATACTAGCCCTCTGAAAATACAGAACAGCCTCATTTACTATCATTGTCTCTTCAAAACAATGCATTATTGGCAAGATTACCACTCTGAAAGGTATCATGGCCAAAATCTGTATTGTATATGGTAACAAAAATCTATATGAAAGAAGGAAGCTTTGGAGTTTGATAGAAGAAAACATGAACTGAGACGAGCCATGTTTAGTTGGAGGTGACTTCAACTGTTTAATAAACAATAATGAGAAGATTGGATTGAAGAACTTTATATTCTCTCAAGGTATGCAGGAAATGAAGGAATTTATGACTAATAATGACTTCCGTGACATCGGTTTTAATAGTCCAAACTTCACTTGGTGCAACAACAAAGAAGGCCTAGCAAGAATTTAGGAGAGGCTGGATAGAGTTTGGTTAAATTCCAAAGCTCTGATGGAATTTCCTAATGCAGTGGTCAAGCATCTCCCTAGAATTTCTTCGGACCACTGTCCAATTCTGCTCCAGATTGACAACAAGAAGCAGCATAACAACAGAGAATTCATATTTGAGAACATGTGGTGTTCTTATGAGGCAGCAAAAGGCATCATAGCTAAATCCTGGAGGAAAAACGATTTTGGTAATTCAAATGACATTCTTCAAAGGAAAATTAAGAGGTCTCTCAAAAACCTTTACTTTTGGAGTAAAAAATAAATTGAAAGAATTGAATTTGAAGATACTATAGCTGAAAAATGAGATTTTGCAGTTACAAGACAGAGAAGCAAGAGATGGAGGTTTGAGCCATGAGAATCTTATAATTCTTCGTAGTAAGGTGATTGATTTCAATACAAACCTGGCTAGAATTTCTACATGGTGGAGACAAAGATCCAAATGTCAGTGGATGGAATAAGGTGAGAAAAACACTAGATACTATCATACATTTACAACGGCTAAGAAAAGAAGCAATTGAATTTTACAAATTCAAAGGGAAGATGGATCACTGGAAACAAATCAAGAAGCTATTCATGAGATTATGGAGAAATATTACTAAAAGAAATGGGGTAATTGCAAGTGCAGTTTGGAGGATTGGCCTAAATTTAAAACTTCTGATTGCATCCATGAAGACAGTATCAATATTCTGAAAGCTAATTATACCAAAGAAGAGCTGGTAATGATGTTGAGGAAAATGGACAACAACAAATCTCTTGGAGCTGATGGTGCCAACGCATGCTTTTTCAAGAATTACTGGAATATTATTGAAGAAGCAACTTGGAATGCAATTGATGAGTTTTTCAAATCAGGCATGATGCCTGAGCAATGGAAGGAGACCATGGTTGTGTTGATTCTGAAAGTTCAAAATGCTAAAGAATGCTCCAAATTCAGACCAATTTGCCTATGCCAAATGGTCTACAAGCTAGCCGCCAGCATGATCCTCAACATAATCAAAAGTTGCCTCCCAAAAGTCATATCTCAATATCAAGGGGCATTTGTTTCAGGAAGAAGCATTTCAGATAATTGCCTTATTGCTCGGGAAATCACCAGAAAGATGAAATCGTTAGTGGTTAAACTGGGATTTTTTCTCTTGAGGCTTGACATGGAACAAGCATATGATAGCATGTGTTGGGAAACTCTAAACCAAGTATTGATGCTCGCCGGTTTTCCCGAGAAATTGATACAGTTGATTATGCAATGTGTATCTAATCCAAAATACTCTATAATGATAAATGGAAAAAGAACCAATTGGATCAATGCTCGTTGTGGCTTCAGACAGGGATGTCCTATGTCGCCAAGTTTATTTATTTTATGTTCTGATCTTCTCTCTTGAGCTCTTCATGATAAAAATGACAGATTGGGGATGAGATTAGCTATGAATATGGAGAAATTAACACATTTTCTGTTTGCAGATGATGTTCTGGTTGTAGCTAAGGCCTATAGTAAAAATGTTAGAACTTTGAAGCACTTCCTCACAAAATACTGTGGCAGGACAGGACAAGTAATAAAATCCCAAAAATCTATGATCTTATATGGTAAAAAAGTATCCAGGAAAAGAAGAGGAAAATTGAACAAAATCTTGGGATTCAAAGAAGTCATGGAGCTCAATTATTTGGGCATCAAATTGGTGTTGAGGAGACTTAAAATTGAAGACTTCAGCAACACCAGTGAAAAAGCTATGAGCAAACTTAATTCAAGGGGAACAAGATGGTTATCATTGGCTGGCAGAATAATCCTCATCAAATCAGCTTACTCAAAATGATTTCTTATCAGGTAGCTCATTCACTTATTCCTAAAAGTATTTTGTTGAAAATTGACAAAATATGTAGGAATTTTTTGTGGAACAAAGAAAATGGAAATGAAGGCATGCACTATATTGCTTGGTCAAATATTTGCCTTCCCACCAGTTTAGGAGGATTTGGCATCCAAGGAGCATCGAAAAGATAGGGACCTTTAAGAGCGAGAATGGCGTGGATGTATTTACAGAACAAAGACTCATTTCTCTACAAAATTCTCAAAAGGAAATATGGTGACAAAATCTGGGAGGAAGGAATGAAGAGAGGATCTTCATCAGCTTGGAAAATTATCAAAGAAGGAATCAATTTTCTGAAACCAATTGTAAGATGGGAAGTAAATAATGGTAATAGAATAAACATTACTAATGACAATTGGATCTTAGACTGAAATGTTAACACTTGGCCAGCAACGTGCAATGCGGCAACTATAATTTAGAGAAATTGACTGATTTTTTCTCTAAAGACATGATAAATCTTATTCAACAGATGGAAAAAGGGTAGATAACCAGAGAAGACAGAATAGAATTGATGTGTACCAATTCAGGGAAGACTATTTCATCTCTATGTGTTGAAGCAAACAACAGGATCTTGACAGTAATCTCAGCAAATCCACTTGGCTGAAAAAAT